AGAATCCAAATAAATAACCAGTCTCCTTGATGCTTGTTCTAAAGAGAATAGAAAATACTCTGCTCCATTCTGAACCTTATCCTTCGAGAATACAAAGGAATACCCTAGTCTTCTTTCATAGTAAAAATCCCAATATATTTATGACTATCATTCATGGAAACCAACAGGCTTAAAAATAATATGAAGTAAGAAACAACCTCCCCAGTACTGAAGTTAAGGTTCTCTTGTTCACTTATAGTCTGTAACTCATTGTCTTTGTCTTTCAGACACACACACAGAAGTACTGCAGTATTTGTCCGAAACATAGTAAAACTGCTGTATTTCAGCTGCATTTTAGTGTATTCCACATGCTCATTAGGAAAATAAATGATGAATGACCTTTAACTTGAAATACACACACACATGCACTGGGGAACACAGCTGATATGTACATCAGCTTCTAATTCAAGGCCACAGTTTTGAGCCAAACAGACATCTTGTGTCTTGAGGAAAGTACTCTTACCAATCTATACTCTAGGCCGATCCTGCATTGAGCAAGGGGTTGGACTAGAATGCCTATATGGACCCTTCCAAATCTGTGATTCTATGAGTCTATCCTTCACATTATCAAGCTAAGGCAAGATGGCAAGCACCAGCACCACACACCAGCATCACACACAGCTGCTTTCAGTGGCTTCCCACGTGGGAGTCATAATATATGAGAATCCATCCTGAATAAGTCAATTAATGTTTTCCCAGTTGGAAATAACAAGCAAGAATTCAGCTGGTATGAGTTCTAGACACTGAACAGAATCAAAACTAGGGACAGGCCTGTAGCTACAGTGGGGCATTTCAACCCTGACCCCCTGACTTACTGCCAAGCCCCCCCCCCCGACTTCCATCCAGACCCCAGGCTGCCTGGGTCTCTGGGCCACCTAGAGGACTCCCAACTCTCTGGGCCACTTGGAGGACTCCCCACCACCGCCCCTTCCCCAAGCGTGCTTGCTTCCCCATGTAGGCAAGCAGAGTGCGAAAGCCACAAAAGTGAATTTTTTTAAAAAATATTTTATTTTTATTTTTTATTTTGTGACATCAGTGCCCCCTGACTTATTTAAAGGCCCCCTGAATTACAAAATCCTGGCTACGGGCCTGACTAGGGATGATCATGAAACCTTCCTGAGATGGATTTTGCAACTGAATCTTGGTCTTTCCTCCTGTGAACTACTCAGAACAAAAATCTGTGGGAAATCCTATGAGGCGCCTTATCCTCCACCCCACTGAAAGCAGCTTGCAGGGTGCAAGTACACTATGAAGAGCTTTGTGAGAGCACTGGTACAGTGATGATGTGAATCAACAAGGGTTAAGCTGACACTAAATATTATAAACATACAAAATTTATTCAGGTGTACACATTTTTAAAAAACTGGTACAACCAAACTGCTGGTAATCAACACCCTTTTCTTTTTCTTTTCAGTATTTTTGCATTTTTGTGTGTGCACATGTGTTATGTGTGTGCCTGGAAGTCATGGCGGCCTCTGGCAACTCCTACTGGGGCACAAAGGACATTCAGAGAAGTCGCTTGATAGCCTGCCTCTGGCCTCCCGGCCCTGGTGTTCTCTGGAGGTCTCCCGTCCAAATACTTGCCAAGGTTGGCCCTGCTTAGCTTCTGAGATCTGACAAGATCAGGCTTGCCTGGGGTATCCAGGTCAGGGCACCCCTTTCTTGTCTTGATGGGAATTAGATTTCTCTACCACGCAAGTCCTTACAGTCCCCAGTTTGTTGACTCTAATCCACAAATCACTTCAACTAAGATCCTTACCTATAAATAAGCATAGCTAATTGAAACAAGAGACACTAAACAGATTTAAGTGCATGCACAAGGACTTATGTGAGGAAATCTAGCCAGTATCCAATCCAATTATTTTCTTTTAATACAATTAACTTCATGAACTATACAACCACACTATCAAATAATTTCTTTTCTGTCAAGCAGTATATCCTGATTACTTCAGATACCTCTACTAAGTGATTTTACTGAAGTCTTTCTCAAAGTATCACCACTGGTTCAAGTCAGTCTTAACCTTATAAACCCCTACCAAGAATAGACACAATTCATATGGCTTCAATTATCAATTAGATTAATTCAATATGATTATTGAGAGTAGGTCTAATAAATCTACACCAGTTTGGTGTAGTGGTTAGGAGCACAGACTCTAATTTGGGAGAACCAGGTTTGATTCCCCATTCCTCCACATGCAGCTGCTGGAGTGACCTTGGGTAACTCACAGTTCTTTCAGAGCTGTTCTCTCAAGAGCAGTTCTCAAAGAGCTCTCTCAGCCCCACCTAACTCACAGGGTGTCTGTTGTGGGAAGGGAAAGGAGATTGTAAGCTGCTCTGAGACTCCAAGTGAATGGTTGGATATAAATCCCATCTCTTTCTCTCTTCTCTAACAATAGTAAAGTTAAACTGTATCACATCTGGCCCTTCTATGGACTCCCTCTTTGTGTCCCCACTAAAGGACCTTGACCATTGCCTTTCACACATTGCTAATGGCACAGCCACTGGCTAAAGGGAGTACCTTTACAGTAACACCCCCCCATGATGGGCACATTACTGGATTTTTTCTAGGTATCCAGTTTTAGGCCAAACCCCCATTGATTTGTCCTCCTTATAATTGAAAGAAATGGATGTATTTTTAGCATCCCAGGTGATCCAAGCAAGTATTTCACATGGCTTGCACAAAGATGTCATCAAAACTAGGGATATTAGATTTGCCTGGTAAAATTTCACTTCAGTTTATAGAAATAGTTTTTTTCCCTTTCCTTGAAGCTGCCTTAAGCCAATAGATAATTATTTATAAATATTTTAATAAAATGAATCAAATTATTTTATCAGACATATTATTTTATCAGACAAATTATTTTATCAGAACAGTAAAGAATTTCTACATTTGCTTCAGTGTGCACCAAGTCAGAAGCGAAGTTGCTTATGTGAAGGAAATCACTGCAGTTATTTAGGAATGAGGGAAATGTACTCAGAAATTAAGAACATAAGAGGAGCCAATGTTGGATCAGACCAATGGCCCATCTAGTCCAACACTCTGTCACACAGTGGTCAAAAATATCAGGTGCCATCAGGAGGTCCAGGAGTGGGGCCAGGACACTAGAAGCCCTCCCACTGTTGCCCCCCACCCCAAGCACCAAGAATACAAAGCATCACTTGCCCCAGCTCAAGAGTTCCTATCTATACCTTATGGCTAATAGCCACTGATGGACTTCTGCTCCATATGCTTATCTAATTCCCTCTTGAAGCTGTCCATGCTTGTAGCTGCCACCACCTCCTGTGGCAGGGAATTCCATGTGTTAATCACTCTTTGGGTGAAGAAGTACTTCCTTTTATCTGTTCTAACCCAACTGCTCAGCAATTTCATTGAGTGCCCACGAGTTCTTGTATTGTGAGAAAGGGAGAAAAGTACTTCCTTGTCAACGTGCTCTGTCCCACGCATAATCTTATAAACCTCAATCATTTCACCCCTCAGCCATCATTTCTCCAAGCGCTTTAACCTTTCTTCATAGGGAAGGTGTTCCAACCGTTTTACCATTCTAGTTGCCCTTTTCTGCACTTTTTCCAATGCTACAATATCCTTTTTGAGGTGTGGTGACCAGAACTGAGTAATAAAGTAAAATACATTTCCCCCTGATTTTGCACCATTGGTCTTGGCCCTATTTTTATGTCCTTGCTATTCAATAACACATGGTGATTGCAGGCGTTCTGTACAGGGGAAATGTGGCTAGTGCACAACTGAAGCCTAGTGACCGAGTCATGCATTGCATTAGCCATGTAGTCACAGGGTTACCAACCTCAAGTGGGGCCAGCTGGAGTTACAGCTGGTCTCCAGACTCCAGAGATCAGTTCCCCTGAAGAAAATGGCTGGTTTAGAGGGTGGACTCTGTGGCATTATACCCTGCTGAGTTCTCTCTTCAAACTCTTGTCCTCTCCACCCCAAATCTTAAGGAATTTTTCAAGATGGAGTTAGTAACCCTATTTGGTCATTCTGGCTTGAGTCTCAGTGACTTAAGTGAATACATACATTTTAAAAAAGCACTTACAGTGGTTCATTGATGAGAATCGGAGTGGCGTGAGAGTGTGAGCTGAGTTTATAATTGAGGAAATCTTAGTTCAAATCCTTATTCATGCTGAACCTTGACACTGTCAGGAAGGCCACACCACGTACAGAGAAGGGAGTTCAAAAATTTTCTCAGATCTTAATGTATAATGGACAATTTAATAGAACATGGGAAACAGATTCGATAGCACCCAGACTACATGGGCATCGTCTAAATTAATCTGGGATTTTTTGACATCGTCTGAAGAAGATGGTCGATAATATGTTAAATCTGGCCAGCATAAACGCCCTTCTTTGATGGGGATCAGTTAAAGAACAGAAATAAGAGGCTATCTGGCCAGGTATCGGAGATAGTTCCATATGGATTAGAGAACAAGTTTTCCTAGCAGCCTCAGTCAGGCTAATAAATTAAAAAGCATTGGACTGAGTACTGATCCCTGTGGTACCCCACAGAGTTCTTTTATCTATCATCACTTTTAATGTTCCAACCCTGGCACAAATTAAACCCTGAAAAGGCCAACTCTCTTCTCAGACATAGGCTGAATGGACCACCTGTGCCTAGGAGTTGCCACTTCAGGCTGGACACTGGAGCCTAGGGAATAAGACATAAAAAATCCATTCACATAGAAATTTAGATATCCAGAAGAAGGGTTCTAATTTAGCCTTCTTCCTCAAATGCCAATTTTCTAAGTTTAAGAACCATGAGAACTAGGGGGAGGGAGCTGAGGAAGCATCTTATGTCAGCCCTGACCTTACCTGCAGACTGAGGTAGAACAGTCAAGACAGGGGTTGAGAGCATGAGGGAGAAACAGGCAATAGCTGAAATGGTTGGTTGTCTGTTCTCCTCTATCTAGATAAAAAGTCACTTGAAAAATGATAAAATGTTTGACATTACCTTTTGATATTCCTTGATGTTCACTAGGTTGAAAGAAAATATGTGATCCTTTGCTCCAACATAGAGTCGACTCCTCTCTTCATCCAAAAGGAATGTTTGGTAACTGGAGCTATTGGCCAGACCATTGAAAGTGACTAGATTGTTTGATTCAAACATTTCTGTGGAATGAGAGACAAAAAGATCCTGGTTAATTTGATGAAGAATGACCACTGACTTAGTCCTGAATAAAAATAACATTTTTACAGTCCTTCCCCAGTGAGAAAAATACAAAGAAGGCCCAAGATACCACAGATGATCATCTGTAGCATCTGCCCACATATTATGGTGCATTTTATTACATCTACCCCCATTTAGTGGTCCAAAAAGCAAGGAAGCATAAAATTTCACCACTGCATATGCTAATGCTACAGACTCTATAGTAATATGCCCACCAGGGTGTTTCAAAGCAAACAAGCTTTAAATTGATTTGTACAAGTTATGCTATGAATGTTGAAAAACCTGCACTGAAAAGAAAGCAATACAGAAGGAACACTGAGGATTAAAAGATCCAATAAGCTTTGACTCTGACAACATGAATGCAGCCTTAAGAACAAGTGTTAACAACTCTTGGGCATATCCTAGGAAGAATTAATTCTTTGTGAGAAAAAGCCAATGGGAGTGTATAAGAAACTAGCTAAATTAAAAAAACCAAGGTTGTGCATGATGGAAGTAAGATATGGAAATAATAAAATATGGGAAAGAATGGTAAGAGTTATCAGGACAGCCTCCTTTGCAAGGACCCTATATGAGAAGGAGCCTGAATCCAGCTCTCCCAGTTTAAGTGTTCCCTGGACTCCAAAACAAATACAGAACATAAGAAAAGTCTGCTGTATCAGATCAAAGATCCATCTAGTCCAGCATATGGTTTCAACACAGCAGCCAACCTAAAGGGACCAAAAAAGTGGGGGCATAGAGCCTAACGCCCCTTTTGCTGCTGTCTCCTAGCACTGGTTTTCTGCCTCAATAAATGGAGGATCTCTTCAGTCAATACATCTAGAACACATTAATAGACCCGTCCTCCGTAAAGCTGCCTAATCCACTTTTAAAGCTAGCTATGTTTAAGAACATAAGAGACGCTAATGTAGGATCAGGCCAAAGGCCCATCTAGTCCAACACTTTGTCACACAGTGGCCAAAAATACCAGGTGCCATCAGGAGGTCCACCAGTGAGGCCAGAACATTAGAAGCCCTCCCACTGTTGGCCCCCCCAAGCACCAAGCATGTTTGTGGCCTTCAGTGAATTCTACAGGTTATTTACTTACTTCCCCCCAATTTCATTGGATGCCCCAAGTTCTAATATTAACGGAGAGGGGGGGAAAGTTCCCTCTATCCACTTTACCCCATGCATAACTTTATAAATCACTAGTATGTCTCCCCGTTACTGTCTTTCTTCTAGACTGAAGAGTTCCAGATTTTCCAGCCTTTCCTAATAATCTTGGTTGCCCTCCTTTGTACTTTTTCCAGCTCTGCAGTTATCCTTTTTGAGTAGGGTTGCCAACCTCCAAGTGAAGGCTGGAGATCAGTTCACCTGGAGAAAATAGTTGCTTTGGAAGGTGGTACCTAGAACAGAGTTTACCTTTTTTATTACAGCTGCACACTGAGTTGACATTTTCTTTGAACTTGCCACAACATCCTCAAGATCACTTTCAGTCTCAGTCCCAACCAATTCAGACCCCATCAGCATATATTTAAAATGAGAATGTTTTTTGTTCCAATATGAATCTCCTAACACGCTGAATTTCATTTTCCACATTGTTGCCCACTTGCTCAGTTTAGAGGGAACCTCCCGTAGCTCTTCACAAGCTGCCATGATTTTCACCATCCTAAATAGTTTGATATCACCTACAAAAATACCTTATCGGTAGTTTTCAGGTATTTTCTCAGCTGAATACAGATCAGATCATCTTTTTGGTTACTGGTATAGCCAATCCCAAAAAGACAATTTTCCCCCAGCCTTTTTTTTTCTGTTATAGTCAGCAATACCATGTATCTGGAGTTAAAGAGATTTATTAAAGGGCTGCAGAGTTTGCCTCTAGCTTTTTCCTGCCTTTCCATCTGGTTTCCAGGGCACTGGGAGGGGGAGGCATCTCTGCAGTCCAATGGCAAAAAGCACCTTAGGGGGAGCTGTAGTACTTTAGGGCCAATCATTGGAATGCTTTTGCAAATGGCATTGCATTGCAGATTTTCAAGGTTGTTGGCTTCAAATGTGAAGTCCAGCGGCCTTGTTTTCGCCACCCATGCTAGGCTTCCCAGGGAACAGAAGGAAGGAGCAGTGGTGAGTAGGATTGTAGGTTAGGGGGAACACTGCCCTTTACCCAATCACAGAATTTGGTTCTTTTTCAAATTCTTCTGTGCATGGGCAAAGAGTATAAAAGCAGGGCCTGGCTGAGCTAGACTCCATTCCTGAGAGAGATTTGGAGAGTATGCAGTTCTGACTGCTTCAGCTGCTACTTCTCTGGGCCTGGACTCCTGCTGCTGCCTGCAAGAGAAATGACTCTGCTGTGGACTTTGGATCCTGACCTACCTGCCTGGAGAAGACACCAACTGCTTTGAGACTGAGCATCTACTTAAAGGTTTTTTTACTCATTATTGTTACTTGTTCTTTGGGCCTGGTGAGTGGTAGGCCAGAGGGAGGTTTGAGGCCAAAGTGGTAATGTGAGGCCAAAGTCTGGAAGTACTTCCGGTGTATGGGGGATCCCCACTTTGCAGAATGCCAGCTGTGCATGGCCTGGATCAATCAAGGGAGAGATGTCAATCATCTCTCAACTACCAGATTGCGAAGCCAGATGGTATTTCTTTGGGGGGAGGGCTGCTGCTGGGGTGCAGGACAACTGGAGGTGGTTGCAGGTCAACTCACATACTGGCTGGCTGGTGGTGGCAGCACAGGCACCCCAGTAGCAGCCACCACCAACCAGACAGGATCATAGTTCCCTCTAAGCTGAGTTAGTGTGAGCTAGCTCACAGATTTTTAGGCTCTGGCTCACACATATTTGTCTTAGCTCAGGAAGGATGGCTCCACAGCAAACTGATTTATGCGGCAGCCAAATCGCTCGCTCACAACTTTAATGCCAGTAGCTCACAAAGTAGAATTTTTGCTCACAAGACTCCACAGCTTAGAGGGAACATTGGACAGTGCTGTTCCTGAATGTTCCATGGTAGGGAAGGGATGCCAAGCATCTCTGATGGAGATGCTTGATGAGTTTGTCACTAGAGTGCCGTGGGGGGGGGGCAGCAGGCAGGGAAAAGGGTCAGTCAGCTCATTGGTAAGATGGTCACTCTAGATGGCCACCCCTTCTCCATGGTTGAAGATGTTGGCCTCTGCAGGCTACTCCAGGATGCCTATCCTGGTATGCACCCTCTGCTCACATGACACTGAGCAGCGGCATGCTGCCCTCATTGTACAGGGCTACCAGGGGCCACATGAAGGCACAGTTGTCCTGTGCTTCACATCCAACATCTGGACTTGACCTCAGGTGCATCAAATGTACCCCTTGCTGACTGAGCACTGGTGGGAACCCAAAAACATTGTGGGTGGGGGTGGGAAAACCAGTTTAGGCAGGGTGAGAGCCACCAGGCCAGCTATCGCCAGGCTCTACTCCATGCTGAGATTCTCAACAAGATGCACATGACAGATAAGATCTCTGCCACGATCAAGAAACTTTTAGTGGCGTGGGTAAGCATGGATGTCTCCATGGGTTTCATGGTGACCGATAGCGGCATGAACATAAGGGCAGCAGCAGAGTCATTGGGCTTCAGGCAAATTCACTGTGCAGCCCACCTTCTTCACCAGGATGCCTTGAGGCTGGGTTCTGCAGAGAATCCCATTCTGGATATTGAGATTCATGATTTCAGGCATCTCCTCCAGAAATGCTGACATCTCATGGGTGACTTCTCTTACAGTGTGAAGGTCACCCATCTGCTATGCAAGAATCAGATGCTGACAGGTGTGCCAGTGCACCACCTGATCAATGACATGCACAGTCGATAAAATTCCGCCTATGCCATGCTTGAGCATTTGATGGGGCAGAAGACAGCCCTGACTGCCCTGATCTCTGAGACTGTAGTAGTTTGGGAAGAGCCAGCTCAGACAGGATGAATGGTTGACTATCTCTCAGACTGTGGAGGTTCTCAGGCCCTTTAAGTACCACACACAGTGGCTCTTATCTGACACAGCAAGTCTGGATCTCATCATCATCCCCATGATCCTAATGGCTCGGGTGGACTTGGCCTCCTTTCTAGAGCCAGCTGCAGGATGTGCAGACTTGGTTCCAGTAGCACATGCTGGTGAAAAAGCTACAAGATAGACTAGAGGTGCACCTTCAGCATCTCACAGAGCAGAAGGTCTACATGTTGGTGACCTTGTATAAACCGCACTTCAAGTGCAGGATTGCTAAGCAGGCTGACCAGCTCATTTGCTGGAGAGACAAGCTCTCCCAGTAAGTTGAATACATGCAGGCCAAGAGGAGCATGTTGGCACAAGCAGAGGAAGAGGGGGTCGATCCCCCACCTCCCCCACTAAGCAGCCCCCCCCCAGCAATTGCCATGATGACCTTGGAGATGGAGCTCATTGTGTGGGCATTCGGCCCCTCTGGAAACAATAGGCACGCGAGACAGGATATGGTGGCTGCAGTGGTGAGGGCGTACCTTGTGGAGCCCTGTGAGTTGCAGACCACCAATCTGCTGAGCTACTAGGCCATGAAGGAGGCAGTTAACAACTGAACTGTCCTAAATAACTGGGCTGGGTGAGAACCTGCAGATGCTATAAAGGCCACATAGAAACACTTCTTAGAAGCCTTCACTGCCATCTCATAAGCCTTCATAAATGACCTATATGATGTTCTCGTAGCTTCATCATGAGCATGCAGCCACCCTTGCTCTAGCCATCTCAGCTCTCATTTCATCCTCCATAGTTCTGGGGTGTTCTACGGGGCTAGTTTGGCACAAGAGTGGAGAGGGTGCTGGACGGCGATTTTGTCAATGGCCTCGGAGAGGTGGCTATGCCAATCCTCCACTAGCTCATCTAAAGTGTTCTGACAGAACTGTGATTGACCAAGGTCACCCAGCTGGCTTCATCAATCAGTCAGTCAGTCAAAGTTTATTATGATCCAAGATCAGCATAT